ATGAGTCTTAGTGCAGACAGACTGCCACTCCTCCGCTGACAAATTTATCCCTAATTCCTCCTTCCATGCATCTAATTTAAGAACTAAATTTTCTAATGAATTTGAACTTATTAATTTATAAAATTCTGAAATTGCACCTTTGCTTGAGCTATCTTTGCAGGCCATTTCTTCTAAATTGGATTTTGGTGGTTTGGTAATATCATTACTTTGTTTTGTCCTGATATAACTTCTAAGTTGAAGATATTTAAAAAAGTATTTTCTATGTATGTTAAATTTTTGCCTGAGTGCTTCAAATGACATTATATAAATTGAACCTGCTGGATACAACTCCTGGACTTTGGTTATTCCATTAAGAGCCCATTGTTTAAACACGGCATCTGATCTACCTGGACTGAAATAACGGTTTCCCCATATTGGAGTGAACTGTGACGATGTAACTGGCTCTTTTGTAAATTTCTTTCCATCGTACCAAACTTTAACCATATTTCTAATCATTGGGTTAACTGTTTTCTTCATTAATTTAGCTACTGTATCAGACAAAATAAACAAGGGAAGAGGTGGACTTACAGAATTAGATTCCATTTCTGTCCACTGGGGGACATCTTTAGTACTAAAATAATATCGAATGGTCCTAAGCTGGGCTGCCCAGTAATACCAGACTATATTCGGGCACATCAGTCCTCCTTCACTGTAGGGTAAATGTAAGAGAGACAATCTAACCCTGGCTCGTTTATTTTTCCATATAAAACTAATCATTAACTTCTTCATTTTACTAAACCAGTCTGAAGGAGGCGGCAGCGGAACATTCTGAAAAACATATAATATTTTTGGAAGTATACTCATTTTGTAAATGTTGACCCTACCAATCAATAACATGGGGAGGAACATCCATCTATTGACATTCTCAGTAATCTCTTTTGTCAAACGTTCATAGTTATTTTTGACGATTATATCCAAATTTGAAAGCACCTGAATTCCTAAGTAATTAAATTCACTAACAACTTTAAACTGAGAAAGAACCTGAGGTGGTGTTTCATTTTCTCTCTCATCCAATAACAACACAGATGATTTAGATCTGTTGATGACATACCCTGAAATGTGACCATACTCCTCTATAAGTTTTAGCAAAGCTGGGACAGATCTATTTAGGTTTGAGATGAACAGGATGACATCATCTGCATATAATGAGAGTCTGTGCTCTACTTCAGATCCGATATTTTTATCGGTATTGGTCCAGATATAAAGAAAAAAAACTAGATCGGTATTGGTGACAATTGACTCGATAGAGGGGTGATCTACTCATTCTTACTCTATGCTATGTTAAACCTTCAAACTATAACAGCACCAACTTGACCAAGCTGGAGAATCTTTTGGTTTATTCAGATGTTTTTATAATGGATGTTTGATTTCGATTTGCACTAAACATTGTAAAGAGCTAATGGCTGTTTTATTTTCTCAATTTTAGCTCCTTCATAATTCATTTTATTTTATTGAATTTTAAATTGGATTTTAGATTCCAATTTGCCCTGACTGAACCTGTGACAATTTTTTTTTTACATGTTGACCAAGTCAGACAACTTTTGGTTTACGATTTTGTGTACAGTTGTTAAATAAATGAGTCATAAAATTTATATTTGGGTTTTTTTCTTTTTTTTTTTTTTATAAAAGGGACGTCAAATCATATGCACGGAAGAATGATCAAATCTTTTTATCAAACAATAAAACAAATTTTTAGGTAATATTTCAGTGCTGTTTTTGGTATCGATATCGGCCGACATTAAACTTCAAATATCGGTATCGTATCAGAGGTGAAAAAAGTGGATTGGTGCATCCCTAGTCCTAACAGAGACTAAATAACAACTTCAGTCCTTTTTTTATTAGACAATCTTTTATTAGACAATCCTTTTTTTGGGTCCAAATGTTGTATGCCCCAACGCTGAGGGCACAATGAGACAAAAATCTGTGGCATTTTGAGACTTTATAGATTTTGATATAATAAAATGAAAATGCTGTTTGGTCAGTTATTTTTATCCTAATGAACCCTAATGCCATAAGTTCCTTAGAAATAGCAATTTTTTTTTATTTGCAGTCAAGGTGTCTATTAACTGAGATTCTCTCCAGCCACAGCGTAACCTAAAACATGTTTCAGTTTGTCCAGAAAATCAACGGATCTGTAGTCAGTTTGTATAATAAATGAGGTACTGAATTGAGATGTCTTTAGGATTTCGATTTAATCTCCATTTTATCCCCCGCATGCCTTCTTTCAAGCTTTTGCCCATTCCTGAGGAGTTTATAGGCTACATAAAGTTACAGAGCCTCGCTTAAACCAGAAGCCTGGGAAAAGCTCTGCTGTGAATTTTGCTTTGAAGGTATAAATCAGGCTTCGCTCCTCTGATGATACACTGTAGTAGCTTATAGTTCCTCCTTCCCAGTCAAGAAATATTCCTACTTTTGAACAAAGAGGAGCTTCGATGTTTTCGGATGTCTCTCCATGGAGGGCAGTGCATCTGCTTTTGGAGCAGATCAGACTCCATGACTTGTCATTGCATCCCAGACCACCACTACTGTCCCAGCCCCTACCCACATCTTTATATGCCACAGCAATACCCACTTCGCCGGTCCATTCCACTTCCCAGTAACAAAATCCTTTCAGGCCTTCTTTACAGAATACCTGGGTCCTCCTGAACCGTTCTTCATTTTTGGTTTGTGGAACCTTCTCCTTCACATTATCTTTAGTTTTTACTTTTTTGTTTAGATCACTCAGAACAAGCCTTTTGCTTGCTGTGTTTTCATCAAACACAAGATCTGCACCATCTGAAAGAGAGGAACATGTTTCTCGTTTACTTTGATGTAACTCAAGAGAAAAGTGGTGAAATATAGAACATGTTCAAAAGAAATAAAGTAAAGTTCATGAAATATCAAATACTGACACAGTATATGTATATATATATATATATATATATATA